TCATTTGATTTTTTTTCTTGATTTTTTTTTTTTTAAATATAGATTCTTATCAGCCATTTACTGGATGTATAGAAAGCAAATATTTTCTCCCATTTTGTAAGTTGTCTATTTGTTCCAATGATAGTTTCCTTGGCTGTGCAGAAGCTCTTTAATTTGATTAGGTCCCATTTATTTATTTTTGTTGCTGCTTTGATTGCCTTTGGCGTCGTCTTCATAAATTCTTTGCCTAGGCCAATGTCTATAAGAGTTTTCCCAATATTTTCTTCCTAGAATTCTTAAGGTTTCATGCCTTAGGTTTAAGTCTGTTATCTACTTTGAGTTGATTTTTGTGAGAGGTGGGGATTCAGTTTCAATCTTCCACATGTGGTTATACAATTTTTCTAGAACCATTTATTGAATAGAGAGTCTTTTCCCCAATGTATATTTTTTGTCTGCTTTGTCAAAGATTAGATGACAATATGAGGATGGTTTAATATCTGGGTTCTCAGCACTGTTACAAAGGTCTATATCTCTGTTCTTGTGCCAGTTCCATGCTGTTTTAGTTGTTATAGCCTTGGAGTAAAGCTTGAAGGCTGGTAACCTGATGCTTCCCAATTTGTTCTTTTTGCTTAAGATTTCTTTGGGTATATGAAAGCTTCCATATGAAGCATAGAATTATTTTTTCTAGATCTTTAAAGAATGATGATGGTACTTTGATAGGGATTATATTAATTCTGTAGATCACTTTAGGGTAGTATGGACATTTTAACAATACTGATTGTGCCAATCCATGAGCATGGTAATTTTCCCATGTTTCCATTTTCTACAATTTTCTCAGTGTTTCATAGTTCTCCCTATATATGTCTCTCACCTCCGTTAAATATATTCCTAGATATTTAATTTTCTTTGAAGCTATTGTGAAAGGTGTTGAATCTTCGATTTGATTTTCAGCTTGACTGTTATTGGTGTATACTAATGTCTTTTTGATAACAGCCATCCTGACAGATGTGAGGTGCTATCTCATTGTGGTTTTGATTTTCCTTTCCCTGATATGACTAGTGATGTCGAGCACCTTCTCATATACCCCTTGGCTATTGTATGTTGTCTTTGGGGAAATGTCTCCATGTCTATAAACACATTCTTAAACAAGCATCCCTGTTTTTCTTCATCATCACCAAATGGGACAGTATGTTTTTAAGCCTTCTCCAATCTGGTGAACAATCAATTACATCTTAATTTGTACCTTGTTCATTAATGAAGTTGAACATCTTTCATCTATTATCCATATTTTTTAATTTATGTGATTTGCAATTTTTATAACAGGATATTGGCTATTTATTTTTGTACTACAGATATTTTTAAATTGTTTGCCTTTTGATTTTGCTATTGAGCTGACATACAAAATTTTAAATTTGTGTGTAATTTACTGATTATTTTCACTTAGTGTTTTTCTGTCCTGCTTAAATGGCTTTCATTACTCATTCATTTATAGTTCTAAAAATATTCATAAAACATTAAAAGTTCAAACGCTTTCAATGCTTCATCTAACACATGAAATTGTTTATTATTTATGTGTAAGGTCTGAGTAAGGAGCTAGCTTTAAAAATCAACAAAACAATGCCTAGCTGGTTGTTCTAGGCTCTTCTTGTCTGCCTCCCCTCAACTGATTTAATGTGCCCCTGTCATAACAAACCTAATTTCCACAGACACGAGGTCTATTTTGCGACTCACTGCTTTACTGATCTCTCTGCTCCAGCACCAACACCACACTGCTAATGCTTGTAATTTTGTTTAATGCCTCCTAGGATAATCACCTCCTCAGACTCCCCCACCCCATGCATATTTTCAGAAGTTTCCTAATTGTTGTTACATGTTAATTATTTCAAATTATCTTTACTGGCTGGTGTGGTGGCTCATGCCTGTAATCCTAGTACTCTGGGAGGCCGAGGCAAGCAGATTGCTCAAGGTCAGGAGTTCGAAACCAGCCTGAGCAAGACTCTGTCTCTACTATAAATAGAAAGAAATTGATGGGCCAACTAAAAATATGTAGAAAAAATGATCTGGGCATGGTGGCGCATGCCTGTAGTCCCAGCTACTCGGGAGGCTGAGGCAGAAGGATTGCTTGAGCCCAGGAGTTTGAGGTTGCTGTGAGCTAGGCTGATGCCATGGCACTCACTCTAGCTTGGTCAACAAGCGAGACTCTGTCTCAAAAAAAAAATCCTAGTAGGATTTTGATTATAGATTACTTTGGTAAGGATCACATTTTACAAGACTACATTTTTCTAAGAAATGGTTTTTCAATTTTTATGTGCGTTACAATTTTCTTCATGTTTATGTTAGTTTATTCCCAAGTATTTTGTTTTTGTTCCTATTAGCTGTGTCCTAAAAATACTTTGTGTTTTCATTCCATTCAATGTGTTTTTTATTTTTCTTGAGATGACGACTTTGCCTTTCACTCATGGATAATTTAGAAGTGTTTGGAGATTTTGCTGTTAATTTCTAGCCTGCTATTATTTTAGTCAGAGAATGCCCTCTATGATTTCAATTCTTTTAAATTTGTTGAGGTTCATTTATGGCCCACGATGTGGTTTATCTTGGGGAATGTGTACTCTGCTGTACACATTTGGGTGTCCTACAAATGTCAATTAGATCCTGGCTGATGGACTCATAAAGTTATCCTATGCTGATTTGCTATCTAGTGGTTCTATCAGTTGATGATGAGTATTGAATCTCAAACTATTTGTGGATTTGTCTATTTCTATTTCTCCTTTCAGTTTTCACTGAATGTTAAAAAAAATTATATATTTTTAGTGACAGGTTCTCACTCTATTGCCCAAGCTTGAGTGTGGTGGCCTCATCATAGCTCATTGTAACCTCAACTTCCTGGGCTCAAGCAATCCTTCTGCCTCAGCCTCTGAAGTACCTAGGATTATATGTATACACCTCCCCATACAGCTAACTTAAAAAATTTTTTTTGTAGTGATGGGGTCGTCTCAGGCTTGTCTCAAACTCCTTGTCTCAAGCAATCCTCCTACCTGTGTCTCCCAAAGTGCTTGGATTACAGATATGAACACCACTGTGCCCAGCCCTGAATGTATTTTGAAGCTCTTTTGTTATATAACCTTCAGGATTAGAATATACCAAGACCCTTTTGTCATTATGTAATATCTTTCTTTATCCCTGGGTTGGGCTGCTTTTTAGAAGTAGAGATGTAAGAGATCTCTTTCCTTCTGATACAGTGAATCTGGAGTGGTCCCTTTAAATCTGCATTCTAACAAAATTCCTAAATAATTTTTATAATCAGGTATTAAGAGTTCTTGTGCACAAACAATAGAAATTAACTTCGGTTGATTCTACTTAGGTAGAATTTATTGAAAGAATATTCAGTAACATCTATTAATAGATTGCTACAGAGTCTTGCTATGAAGCAGATCCCTTATATCCCTCTAGGGAAGCCCAAAAGTCTAGGCACTTGCTCTCCCTGCCCCTGGCTGGTAGAACAGTTATGTGATCTAAACTCAACCCATCAGGGTCTCACATGAACCCGGACTTTACGTTTGGTGCAAAGTATGTGAGGTAAGGATATTTTAGAATTAATGCTGGTGGTGGTGAGAATTCTGGTGTCCGATAAGAGAACTGGCAGCAATGACAGAATTTAGATACACGCCTATCTATGGCATGATTTGGTATTGGTTCAACTGCCTGGCCTCTTTCCGTTTCTACCCCTTCCCTGAGCCTGGCTTCCCAGCCCTCCAGCAATTACACAGACACGTGTTACACAAACTCCTGTTTGGGGGAAATTATTTATTTTGGGGGACAAAATCAGAACTATAACTTGCTAGGTCAACTACGAAGTATCAGTGAGGTTAGAATCATGGGTTTTGTTTGCATGATAAGTGGAATTATTTACTGTTTTGGAAGACAGCAGTTTTTCTACCCAGGAGTTGGGCTCCAACTTGTGTATGTTAAGGGAACCTAAGTGGTGGTAATAACACTACGTCGTGTGTCAGGGACCTGTGTGTGACTTTGGACAAGTAGTTACTGAGACTAGTCACTTAGTCTAGGCTCATCTATAAAGTGAAGAGTTTGGACTAAACCAGATTCTGCACTAGCTAATATCTGCGTGAAAAGACCCAGGCCAAAGGATATATTAATATATAGCTTGGCAGAAATCTATTCTTACTGTGCAAAAATGGACACCCAAAAGAAAGTTTTGGTTTTCACACATGAAGCATTATGAATAGAGACAAGACCCATTAGTAATCTTCAAAGAACAACCATCTCCTGTCTCATCCTCTCAGAACTGAAGGGGGAAAATGTACGTGTGGCAGAGAGAGCACAGCATAAGGTGGGAGGGTCAGAAGTTAAGCAAGCTGGGTGAATGAGAGGGGTGGGAAAACGGGCAGATCCCCCCTGCCCTAGACTGGAGACGATTTGCTCTGGAGAAGCCTGATGGGTGGGTACAAAAGGGGGAGGTCTAACCTGGCTGGCGTGTGTTACTGCCAGATCCTGCTCATGGAAGAAAACAACCCGCCCCCCGCAAAATGCCCACATTCACTTGGCCCAAATAAATCAATCTGTCAGGAACAAAGAACCATTTAGTTGAAGGGAATCCTTATTTTCCCTTTGACATAAAAAATCAGTTTAGAAGTGACTGGGGCGGCCGGGCGCGGTGGCTCACGCCTGTAATCCTAGCACTCTGGGAGGCCGAGGCAAGCGGATCACTCAAGGTCAGGAATTCTAAACCTGCCTGAGCGAGACTCCATCTCTACTAAAAATAGAAAAATTAATTGGCCAACTAAAAATATATAGAAAAAAAATTAGCCGGGCATGGTGGCACATGCCTGTAGTCCCAGCTACTTGGGAGGCTGAGGCAGCAGGATCGCGTGAGCCCAGGAGTTTGAGGTTGCTGTGAGCTAGGGCTGACACCATGGCACTCTAGCCTGGGCAACAGAGTAAGACGCTGTCTGAAACAGTAGTGACTGGGGCACGTAAATTGAGTCATTCTCTTGTAATTTCAGGTTCTTATGAGCGCATCATTCCTAGGGGCCCTGTGCCTCTTCTCATCTGTCTGTGTCATATGTGCCATTTCTGCATTTACTCTCCCCATTGAGACCAAAGGACGGGCCCTACAGGTAAGTGAGGCAGGAAACTATGAAGTCTTCTCAACTACCAACATTTGCCCAAAGGAAATGAACTTGGCGTATGGGGATCCTTCTTTTAAGCAGATGTAAGTTTGTATTAACACAGTATGTTTAGTAGGTTCCAATGGAAAAGCTGGGTCTCCAGTTTTTCCTGCACGTAGCTTTGAGCAGCATTGAAGCTCAAGCAACTGATAATTTGTGTACTGCAAAATTGTAGTTTGAATAACAGGCACTAACATGGATGACAGTTGTTGAGGCTTCAGCATTCTATCCTTTCCCTTTCCTGTCTGGATGTGAGCTTTGCTACAGAGCTAAATGTGGCTGGCAGAGCTCAAGCAGCTATTTGTGTTGCCCTTGGGATCACACAGTCTTTCTGTGTTGGTCCAGCTTCCTTTCCCCTGGTACCTGTGGGAAAAGATGTGCCAATATGGCACCAGTGGCCATCCAATACTACAGCAGTGCAAACTGCTCACTATATTCCACAAAGTATGTAAAGGATCCCCCAACAGTATAAGGTATGTTTCCAGGCAAAAATGTAAAAGAGGGGGCCCTCTCCTACCCCTTTGCCCTTATGGTTGGAGTCAGTGAAGAATGGTCATCTCCAAGTATAGGTGGTGGGTCTGATGTTTTCCTACCTTAAGCACAAAGCCCTTTGCTTGTAGACAAGGCTGTGTGTGCGCATAAAGGGCAAGGGGAAGAGTGGCTGGCTTAGGTATACCGTTTGGTTGACCCTGAGCTGCTGTCTCTAAATGAGGCTGTAGAGAGTCACGATGCTTCTGTGGCTAAATGTGACTTGCCCTCTCTCCCACGTCCTACTCATAGTAAATGGTGAAGACAAGTTAGTATCTGTTCTGCTGTCTGTGAGTGGATACAAGGAAGGCACTATTGAGGAAAGTGGGGGGGGGGGCGCTTATGGCAGTTGGGATATTCTCTCCCTCCCCGGTTATCTTTCAGGCAATGTGTGTTTTAATCAGAGTAGATGGCCTGTCATGTAATTGTGAATTTAGGGCTTTACTTGGAAAGTTGACCCACTCGTTGAATGCTTAAAGCCAGAAATAGATGGCTGTAAGCCATCTAATTAGATGATTCATAGGCTTCTTTTTAATCCTAAATAAAAGGATTATCAAATGAGGAAACTAAGGCAAAAGGAAGTTGTAACTTGTGTAAAGTACACACTAGTATGTAGGAGGGCTGAAATTCAAACCAGACTGCAAATTTAAGTGATGCTAGATTTCCAGTCCCTTAAAGTTTTTATTTTTAAAGTAGTAGTATAAATATTAATACACATTAGATGATGAACCAGATTTCTTTTTATGTGTATTATAGATTTCCAACTCATCTCCACCTTCTTCTGTTGCCAGGGACTTGGTTTTAGCACAATGGTGAAATGATTTTGCACATGTATACAGCCTTTTTAATATTTTCCAATTGTATGGCCACCTAGCCCTTGCTGACTTTGCCACTGAATGGCTATACCTTTGGGCAAATCTTTATATTTACCCCCCACCTCAGTGCTGTGCTTATCCTAATAAAACCACCTCATGATGGAATGTTTACAAGAACATTTAAATATTTTTAACTTCCTTTCAACATATACATGGGCATCCCAATAATTTGGGTAAACCAACCTGGTCAATAGTTTAAAAGCAGAATCAATTCTACATTAGAACTACTCTACCAGACTTATCAAAATGAGTTTCTTAAACTAAAAATCCAAAACACTCTTGAAAGAATATTTACTTTCTAACTGCCTGTATTGTACTAGAATAAATAATAAAATTAGCATTGTATGTCCAAATATATAAGTAAATGCTAGGATCTTCCTATAAATTCTATTATAGAACCTCTATTGCTAGGTTCTAGTGTCAGCTGAGTATGGATGAACAAGACTTAAAAAGAGTATATTACTCATCTATTAAATCATTTCTTTTTCCAGCAAATTAAATGAAGACCTGCAAAGCTATGGCTACCAAAGGAGAAAAATGCATTTTATTATTGTCAGAATTGTGGTATATTTTTTAAAACTTGGTTTTACTTCTGTATGCTACTCAGTAATTAATAAACTGATTATGTATTTTTAAAAAAGGCACATATGGGAATGGGATGGGTAACTGTATTGATCTTCCTTGAGAAAGAACTTCTATTAAAAATTAGAAAGGTATGAGTTCAAGATGAAAGGACTAAGATGGCTTTTCTTCCTTGACATCAAGTCTATTAACTTTTATATGAATAAATACTAAATCTTATAAAAAAAAGGTATCTGATATTCTTCCATGAGGTTTATAACTAAACAAATTCTATAGCTAAGGCCAAGAACTTGGAATGATATCATCAAACCTTTCAAAACACCTAGAATCATCAAGCTCTAACTTATGGCCTCTATTAATAAAAACTGCTTATTCATAAAATGCTTAATGTAGAATAAGTCTTACATATAATCAGATACATTCCCTATTTCTACTCTAATTTTTTTTTTATGGGGGAATCTTTGCTTTCTATGATATGAAAATTAATTATAGGCATATCTTGTTTTATGGTGCTTGGCAGATGCTGCATTTTTTTTTTTTTAATAAATTGAAAAGGTTTGTGGAAACCCTGTGTTGAATAAGTCTACTGGCACCATTTTTCCAACAACATGTGCTCACTTTCTTGTCTGTCATGTTACTTTTCCATTACATATGTTATGGTGATCTATGATCTTTGATGTTACTATTGTAATTGGGGATATCATAAAATGTATCTGTATAAAGCAAACTTAATACATGATGTATGTTCTGGCCAATCAGCTATTCCCTCACCTCTCTTATACTGTGAGACACAATATCGAAGTTATGCCAATTAATAACCCTACATGGCCTCTAAGTGTTCAAGTGAAAGGAACAATCATACATCTCACTTTAAGCCAAACGTTAGAAATGATTAAGCTTAGTGACAAAGTCACATGGAAAACTGAAATAGGCAGAAAGCAAGGCCTCTTGTGCCAGTTAGCCAAGTTGTGAATCCAAAGAAAAAGTTCTCGAAGGAAATGAAAAGTGCTACTCCGGTGAATACACAAATGATAAGAAAACGCAACAGCCTTACTGCTGATATGGAGAAAGTTTTAGTGGTCTGAATGGAAGATCAAATCAGCCACAACATTCCCATCAGCCAAAGCTTAATCCAGAGCAAAGCCCTAAGTCTCTTCAATTCTATGAAGGCAGAGAGGTAAGGAAGCTAGCAGCAGAGGTTGGTTCATTAGGTTTAAGGAAAGAAGCCATCTGCGTAACATAAAACTGCAAGGGGAAGCAGCAAGTGATCCAGAAGATCTAGCTACCAAGAGACTTTCAATGTATATAAGACAGCCTTCTATTGGAAGGAGATACCATCTAGGACTTTCCTAGCTGGAGAAAAGTCAATGCCTAGCTTTAAACTTCAAAAGGACAGGCTCTCTTATTAGGGAGTAATATAGCTCATGACTTGATGTTGAAGCTAATGCTCATTGACTATTCCTTTTTTTCCTTTTTTGAGACAGAGTCTTGCTCTGTCACCCCAGAGTACAGTGGCATCATAGCTGACTGCAACCTCAAACTCCTGGGCTTGAGCAATCCTCCTAAGTAACTGTGACTTCAGGCGCTGACTTTGTTGACCATTCTGAAAATCCTAGGGCTCTTAAAAATTATGCTCAATCTACTCTGCCTATACTCTAGAAATGGAACAGCAAAGCATAGATAACTGCACTTCTGTTTACAGCATGGTTATGAATGTTTTAAACCCACGGTTGAGACCTGCTCAAAAAAAGATTCCTTTTAAATATTACTGCTCAATGACAATGCACCTGGTCACCCAAGAGTTCTGAAGTTGGTGACCCCACCACTGGCTTACCTCTTCCCACCCTCATTTTACAATTGAAAAAGAACTCGCTTTCAAGCACAAAGTGTCAATGAATTACCAAACTATGAGAGGTTCACACTCCCACTTGCATAGGGGTACAAACCATTCTTATTTGAACCACAGGCATAAATGGCTTAAAGTTAGGAATTTTTTTCAGTAAAGGGCCAGACAAAAATAGGCTTTGTGAGCTACATATAGACACTTTTTTTTGGTTATAAGCCTTTCAAAAAAATTATTAGCTTTCAGGCTATACAAATGCCATAATTTGCAGAACCATCTTAAGGCTACAATATCTTTTATGCAAAGATGTCTTGGGTACCTATGTAGGGTTAGCCAACCAACACACCACAAATCTTAACTGAAAATCCCAAAGCTGAAATTAGCAGTTTAAAATTTAAACAATAGCAGTGACTGAAACATACAGCCAACCAATGACCCAGTTGATGCTGAAGCATTGTTCCAAAGGGGTCTCCAGGTTTAAGGGACTTTATTTTTTTTGAGACAGACTCTCAATTCTGTTGCCCGGGCTAGAGTGCCATGGCATCAGCCTAGCTCACAGCAACCTCCAACTCCTGGGCCCAAGTGATCCTACTGTCTCAGCCTCCCAGGTAGCTGGGACTACAGGCATGTACCACCACACCCAGCTAATTTTTTATATATATATTTTTAGTTGTCCAGCTAATTTTTCTATTTTTAGTAGAGACTGCGTCTTGCTCTTGCTCAGGCTGGTCTCAAACTCCTGACCTTAAGCAATCCTCCTGCCTTGGCCTCCCAGAGTGCTAGCATTTTAGGCATGAGCCACCACGCCCAGCCTCAAGGGACTTTATAATGTTGGCCAGCACTGTCCAGCACCCAGGCACCCAAGAAGATACTAAATTAGTCTACAACAAACTCTAGTGACATAATTTTAATTGAATACCAAGTTTGAAAAATCTTCGATAACTCATATGTTCCTTACCATACTTACTAGTGTTAGCTCTCAGAAGTGGAAATCAACAAATTTCAAGTCACGTATCTGTAAGAGCATTTTTCAATTGGTTTCATTACCCACCCAAAGAGCAAAAAAATAATGGCTGAAGTATTAAAGAAAAATAACATAACTGAAATCTCTATATAATCATATTTTGCTTTATACAGTAGGATAGAGATTGAATTTATCTGAATCTAATAGTTTAATACATAGGAGAGATTCTGACATAAGTCTATTTAAAGCATAGGCTATCACAGCAAAAACTTTTTGTAATATAAATGCCAAAACATTTTGGACTTTTTGGACTTAGTGAATCCTAAAAGGATCAGATTAGTTAACCAGTATCATTGTCAAAAGTCTATCACCCAGTGGCCTAGTAAGTTTGTTGTTCCTGTCTTATAGTCATTCTTCCTCCTCCCTGTTGAGAACACTCAGATTTTCCTTGGGGAAATGCCACCTCTCAGGTCAGTATATTTTTTATTCCAAAGGTGAGGAGTGCTTAAACCCTGTTTGATATGTACATTCTATCCTCTCCCCTAAAACAATGACAATGGGGCTTCAATCATTTGCAACGTAAGGATTTCTGAATGAATTTTCTGATTCATCTGTCTTCGAGTTAAAGTACATTAGAACAGGGGCAAAGAATTCATATTCCCAAGTATATTGATACAGGATGTTAAAATACCCTTTCTTCTACACATTTGAAAATGTGGGAAAACAATTTTGTTAAATGTTTAACTACCAAGGAAGAATTTTTTTTTTTTAAAGAACAGAAATTTATTTCTTACAGTTCTGGAGGCTGGGAAGTCCGAACAGAGGGGCTGCATCTGGTGGGGGCCTTCTTGCTGCATCACTCCACAGCAGTAGGTGGAAAGGCAGGACAGTTCAAGAACATCCCAAGGAAGAACTTTTTAGTACTCAAATATGGACTTAATTATTCTGTTTAAAAACTAAGACTCAAACAAGGTTATCCTCATGAAAGTAAGATCTATTAAATAACCAGTAGTGATTTTTAAAAAATAGTTGTGAAATTAACATAGGCAAATTTTCTAAGTGACTTGTAGTAGTACCTACTCTCTTTTTCTCCCTCTTCCCCAAACTAGTTCCAGACAAGTAGAATTTTTCATTTGGTTCTCCTACTTTTGGGGGGCAACATGAGGGAAGAAGTCATTGATTCAAGATATTTATCACCCACTTTCCTGCCTGTTGGTCAATTTTTGTCTTTTAAGGCCGGTGAAATACATGTGTTAGGATGAAGTTGTTTTCCTGTTAGTTATTATGGACTAGTAGCTCATCTCTGTATGTATCGAAGTTTTAGCTAGAGGAACACACAAACGTAATAATGGAGAACTGGTTAACACTCTGAGATAACATTTAGTAATTTTTCCATTAAATACTTGTGGTAAAATATTCACAGTAAGAATCCAAAGTTAATTTTTATTAAAATCAAAGCACCAGTCTGCCCCCAAAATTAATAACAAAAAAGACTACTGCCTCAGATATCCTTCACAATAAGCAAAACCTTCATGAAGAAAAATCTGTGATCTGACTGGCTAGCATTATTCTCACTTAGGAGCATAAGTCACCAGCATGTGAATTGTGACAGTAAATTCACATCCAAGATGAAGGTACAATAAATGTAAAAAGACATCAATTATTTACATGGGGCTATAAAATACTTTAACAAATATGTACATGGTTATTTAAAAGGAGGAGCTCAATTGCAGTAAGAAATTAGATGGCTGAACTCATGGTCACGCCCACAATTTCAATCAGATATTTCTCTCATTCATAATGAATACAAACAAACAGAAAATGAGCACATCTTCAATTTAAACCTAAAAACCTTTCACATGCAGCAACTTACTTTTGGGATTCACATTAATTTGGATCAGGCCTTAGCAAGTTTCTCGTATTTCTCTCCACAAAACTCACATTTAAAAGTCTAAGTACTTTAAAAGTACTTTGAAATGCAAATTCATAAATGGAACAAGAAGCTGTATACTCACCCTTTTGACTGTAGACCTTTTTGAAAGCACTCCTTAGTTATACTACTGTGTGGTACTAAAACGTAAAGCCTACTATTTAGCTTGGAAAAGAAAGTAAAACTACTATGGAAAGAGGATGTTTTTCTTTTAACACCTTCCACTCTCCTACCCCTCCATTCAGAAAAGATAAGCAGGGCATGTTAATTCAAAAGACAAAATGAGTGCATTGCCAGATGTTAGATATTTTGCATTTAATATGGTATATCTCGGTCCATTATATTTTTGCCATAGCCATAAATCACTGGCTGTGTACTTGGTTTTTTTTACTGCCAGAAAATCGGGTGCTTGGACCTCAGGAAGCTGTCAATGAGTTGGAACTGAGTAAATCCTAGTTCACACATGGTCTGCTCATTCATATATAAGCCCTGGCCAAAGGTGTGGTCACATTAAGCAATGGGGGTCCTTCAGCTGTAATATTGGGCTCTAGGTCCCAAATCCAAAGGGCAATCTTCCACAGTTTTTGGTCAGAGGTCAACACTAGTGTGCATAAATTTAGGTCAAGGTTGCTGGAATCATACTACATATTTTTGGGGATGCTCTCTAAATGAGTGTGGGGCATAATTAGGCTCATCTTATAGTTACTTCTATTAGAATAAAATTTAAGGATGACTTAGCTGGGATCCACCTGGGCACACAAGCACTCGTTAATAAGGTCACAATCAAAGACCATTATAAAAGGGCTATTGAGAAACCCAAAACATTTAATATGATAATTATATTATGTATGATTACAAGATGGTTCTCAACTGCCTTTCAGACAAAGATGGTTAATATGAAATAGAAATACTGTTTTAAAAGATTAATATGGCATTGAATATAATAGTGACAGTGCAGGGTACATTAGTAGAAATTCTGGCTCACATACATTTAGGAAATTATATTTTACTCTCTCTTAAGCCCTGCTTCCCTTTGTGATGATTCTCAAAATAATTTATCTGCGTTGCTCTAACTCAAGAGACAAGTACAGAAGAACAAACTGTCAGAAGAACAGCATTCTAAGATACCAAGAATAAACTATTAGCAAAAGCTCCACAGCTGCTGTGCTAAAAATAAAATGTTGGAGCAAAAAACCCAAACAATTAAAAGGTATATGCACTATTATCAAAATCTGCTCAAATAGTCTCTGGAGAACAAATGTCAAATGCATA